GAACCACTACCTCTTTATATTGGCCACCTTGGCGGTCTACACCACCTTCTTCCCCACCGGCAACACTACAACGTACTGTACATCTCACTCACCCCGCTGTCCCTCCTCAACAAGTGCATGGTCCACTGGATGCGAACGATATTGACCCGATGGATATGTCGGACTCAAGTGTGTAATATACCACATTATTTGTCGGCAAGAAAAAGACCTGTGCTTCACCGTCTCTTTGTGTGACCATTTACTAGGTATTCCGTTTCCCTTCCATTTCCAACACTTTGAGCTTTATTCTGTGGTCATTCCAACCCATTTTGCAGCTTGGGCTTTTCGCTTTCTCCTCGATACTTCATATTTGACGCAATGGTTCGTTCTTCTCGGCCCAATCCATATCGCGCTACATCTACGATCGAGACACCGCTTGGTACACGAACCGTTGGATGGTTTGCTGGACATCGAGGCCTTCCTGGTGATGTGAACCCTCCTCCAAACAGACCTGTTCTTATCTTGGTTGACTTCTCTCCCCTACAGGCATTGATTCACTGAAGCGAACCTGACCGTGAACACTACATGGCTCTGGCGAACTCCAATTTTAGAAATATCAGTGGCTACGAACTTGCAGCTCTGTTTACCTAGTCACGTCAGATGGAACCAGTTGAAGCCGGCCTCATCCCAATTGCCGAACTTCGCTTCTGTATCTCCAAAAGATTGAGGTCCCAATGGGACATCCAAATTGATCCCTCGAATCTGGAGTTTCGCTATTGCGACCTGGACGGTGATACATTCCAAGTTTCCAATGATATGACGATCTTGCAGCTTCTGGAGGCATACCGACCTGAATGGCGACTTCGGCAGTATAACTCCCGCGAATCCTCTTTCCTCATTCCGGGTACCAGACAGCCTTTCGTACTACGTCTGCAATGCTACAAAATTAGCTCCGGTGTGATCCTGCCCTGATACGCTAGCCTGCCAAAAAAAGACCATGCCACAGGGTTTTCAATTCACCCTTGACACCTCACCAACATAAAGGATTCGTTGATTTCTACTTTATTTGACTTTGAGCTGTGGCTTCTCCGTCGCAATTGAACCACTTGATTGAGGACTGGACTTCACTTTTATCATTCTTGTGATTGTTATCATTTTCGGGATTGGCTTATATTTGCTATTCTTGATGCCTCAGCCGTTGTTGCACTACTTCTCGCATTTGTGACAGTTTCACCCATGGAACACAAACGAGACGCGACCGTGGCGGGCTTGTCTTGGCCTTCGAATCCTACCCGTGGACTCGCTCCTGCCAACCCAGTTCAAGTACCAGACGCCCAGACTTCTGCACTATGTCACTCAGGCCCTCCTGACACTACGACCAACCCTACGTCGGCACCTTTGGCAACTGACAGCACGGCTCCTGACACGGGTACTATGGCCTATTCTGATACATATTCAGGACCAGCACCTCCTTGCGTCCCGTTTCCGACGGAGTCAAGTTCTGCACACAACTATCTCCATCGTGCTCAATTCTCTTCTCGCGTGGTTCACCAGATCCAATTCAAGGTCATTACCCACTCCAACAACACCAGGGAGCTTTTCATTGAAGAAATCCCCTTGCTCAGGCATTCCCGATGTCGTGACCCTGAACACTACTTTTATGGTCTTTCGGGCAACTGGGAGTGGTCCCTGCGTACAGCGGACTATTGGCGACATCATTTCGAGATCCCCCTTGTACACGGACACCATCCTTTTCACAATGTGCCCATTGAGACGACACCTCCTGCAGATGAACCGAGCCTAACCACCCGGCTCCATGAATTAGCCAAAGATCTATCTGACACCTTGAAGGCTGCTACGGCATCTGGGGAACTCGATCAGACTTGGGCGATGGTTGAACGCATGAGCTTCCACGAGGCTATCGAAGTTCTTCTACAAGCTCCGAATTCCTCTTCTGACTGAGGTGATCGCCCGTTTGTACATTAGGTTATTACAGGTTCACTTTCACTGGTGTATTGCCGATTCCGCCAGCGAAGTTCTTCCAAAAATCCAACCTCGCTACATGCGAGGTGTGTGTGTGTGTACCATCTGAACAGATGTAAAACTTCTTATTGGTTTTCACTACTTTGCAGGGGGACTGGAGCCGATTTGCCTATCCAGTCCAACGAAGCTATGGCATTTCGGTGGATGAGTGGTCTGATCAACCACTTGTACCTGCAAAACTCAGTTTGAACTGTTGACCAAGCTGTTACACTGCGTTGTTTCGACTCTACACGGTTGCCACAATCTGTATTGCATGCATCAGAACCTTCCTCAGATTTTCGCCGAAACCATATCGCCGACAGTATTATGATTTTTTGATATATTTTCGCCGAGATCATGTCGCCGATGAACAATGGGTCATTTTGGGAAACAATCGCCGAAACATTATTTGAGATTTCAACATGCTGGTCATCACTCTATGGACTCTGGTTTTAACTACGTTTGACAATATCGGATTCCCTACATCGTTTTCGAGAAGTACCTCATGCGGCTCTTTTACTCATCAAATAATTTAGACTGGTTTGCATGTTTCAGGATTCAGTTCCTGCCGGATCATATAATGATCCATTCTTGTCTAGTGTGTGTGTGTGTGTTTTTCCAACACTCCTTTTCTGGGAAAAGCTCCGTGCGCGCCTCAACATGGTAGAAGCATGTTGGCCTCCAGCATGGAGGTCTTGGTGAAAAACGCCAATTGGAAGCGGTCCACTATGGACAAAAACTTCCATGGAAAAGTCATCGAAATGACAAGATGACTGCAGTGAGACGCTGCTCTGCCACAGCTGCAAAAGACGTGCAAGTGAATTCATGCTCGGAAAGTCATGCTTTTTTTTTTTACCCTGGCCTTCGTGATACGTTGGGCCTTTGCCTCTTGGACCAGCTCCTTTTTTTTTTTTACCCTGGCCTTCGTGATACGTTGGGCATTTGCCTCTTGGACCAGCACCTTTTTTTTTTTTGTTTATGCTGGGGGTCACTCACCGGTCGTGAGGGCTTAAGGGAGTGAAACGTGGCAGAGCAGCAGCAACTGATAACAAAATTGGGCAAAATGCCTTCAGGTGTCACATTTGGGCGGCCTAGCTTTCAGGTTTTGGACATGGCTTTGAAAAGCTTCTGCAAGGGCACATCATCCTGAGCATCCTCTGACATGGACGAGGCATCGGAATCATTTGCATGAGCTGGGTCTGACATGGGCCATTTGATCAAATCAAGGCAGTCGCAGTCGCAGTACCAGAAGCATGACACATTGCGGGTGAACCAGGAGGGTTCAGTCCATATGCATTCAGGAGGCCTGCCATCATCTGTAAGAAGGAAATTGACAGGTTCAGGGGCAAGCAAAGGCCACGTCTTCAGGATGCTGCGGCAGTGGCCTGAGCCATCTGTGCCTAGGTGCGCAACTGCTGAGATCATTTGATACCCTCTCTGATGGACCTGCAAACCCTCATTGTCAAAGACTGGGATATTGAGGCTTCCTCGAAAATGAATAGGCCTCTCACATTTCGTCACGGCCGTGGTGCCTTGGTGAATGAAACGATCAACATGAATGCACACAATCGGGGAGGGAGCAACCAATGCAGTCTGCATGCCATACTGTCCCGCCCATGAATCCAGCATTGTCTGAAGTGCAGTGTATCCATGTTGAATGGCATTTGAGTCGACTTCATCAAACTGAACTGTCAGCGGTCGCACAGCGTCACTTTGGTCCATGAGACGGACAACATCATGTATCTGCACCCGGCGTTCCCACTTCATGTTGAAGCCACCAAGCTGCAGTCTCCCCAGCACATGTGTCATGAACTCCACTGGATCACCCTGATTGTTATGATTATGCCAGTTTTGCATGACATCAGCAAACCATGGTTGGGTGACCAAGTGCATGGGCTGTCCATGGTGTGTCAACAAACTATCAGCAATCAGGGTGGCATGTGGCCCCAGGTCAGCAAGCCGAAAATTGGTACGGCTCACCACTGCCCAAAGAGTTGCCATCACGGCTGCATTGATGTAGCAGTGGTTCCCGGCATTGAGAAGTGCCAGGGTGCCAATTGCAAGCAGCAGCGCATTTCTGTGTTCATCTGCCATCGGCATCAGCGGCGATGAGCTTTGCCCTTCCCTGCGCTCTTCCCTTTGCCGATCAGGGACTTCAGGTGTTCCGCCTGGCTGCTCTGCGGAAGAGAATGGGCCTTGAGGGTGGCCCCCAAGAGGTTCCATACCTTGCATCCCATCAGCTGTTCCAATAGAGTCTGGAGTTCGTCGCAACGTAGAGCCACTTGGAGAATCCAAGGAGTGACCCTCTGATCCCCTGACGCCTTCAAGGCGTGGAATTTCACCACATTGGCCGGGTCCTGAAGGGTCTCCACCAGCTGATCCACGTAGCGTTTCATCCTGTCCATTCCCACTGGTGCTTGGCTGGTTTGCACCAATTTCTGGCTGGAGGCATCCCATTTCTGAAAGAAGAATTCTCCCTTGTCGTTCACCAGATTGTGGTGCATGGCTGTCTGAAACAGTGGATCCGACTGCTTGCAGGAGTACAGCTTGAGGAGGCGCATCTGGAGTGTCTCGGCCATCGTCTGCATCAGCGTCACTCTCAATGGCTTCCACTCCTGTGTTTTCATCTGGCCTTCCTGCTGGGTCATCTCCTGGTGCCACTGTTTGGCCTGCTTGCTCAGGATGTGGATCACCGATTCCTCCTCCATTTGCATGTAAAAGACGAAGGAGTCTTGTTTTCTCAGAAGATTCTGGTCGGCGTCCATCCTGATGAGCAATTTGGCCATCTGCAAGACCACTGGTTGGAGGTCCAGACGTTGAGCCTCTTCTGTCAGTTTGTGCTGAGTTTTGGCTTTCTTGGAATCCCGTTCGTCTCCTTTTGCCCTCTGTGTGGCCTTCGACAGCAGTGGGGCCATTGCCGCAAACGTTTCCAGAAGCTCCTGCGTCTCCCTGCCTGGCATGGACGGAGTCTCGGCAGAGTCCATGGGTCAGCAGCAGGCTCACTTGGTGTACGACGGGGCACTGTTGAAAATGAGAACCAGTGTCTGCCGTGATTGTTGTTCTGCTAAACTGGAAGCTCCAAGCAGTGGCAGATTGAAAATCTGATGACATTGCGCACATTGATAGTCCGTATGAGAAGCCCTCTGAAACTCTTCAAACAAAAATGGCAGAAGGTCAACGACTCTGTCCAGATTTGAGGAGTGGACTTGCAGGATGTGGTCGCGCAGCAGAGCAGGGTGAAAAATACCACCACAAATCACGCAATGTTCCCTGAGAAAGGCCTGAAGCGCATTATCTTGCAGGAGCTGTCGGATGTGTCTTGCATGAATGCATTCAACCAGTCGATCCATGACTGCATGCGTTTGACTGTGGTGCAAGCTCAGGGCGAGGCTCTCCCTGTCTGAGCGCCACGGCAGGAATAGGGGCACTGCTGAGCGTCCCGCAAGCATTGCCATCTGACGGTAAAAGGGGCAAACATGGGTCAAAGTGACCTTGTGAACACTGGGGTTGCACACACAGGAGTGTTGTGGCATCAATGTCTTCATCAGATATCTGGTGAGGGCTTGCGCCTGGCCCAACATGGCTGAATGAGCCGTCTGCAGATGGAGAATCAAATCTCCAGAGCGCATGTAGGCAGCACCGCATTGGGCACAGTGCAGCGTCATACGCATCCTGAGCATCGGGTCAGACAGAACTGGTTGTAAGTCCCCTGTCTCCAAGGCTGTTGTCCAGATCTCGGCAATAGGCAGGGGAAATGGTGAGCGATGAGGGTCGAACTCACTGCATTGCCCCAGCGTCACATCCCCAGTGGAAGTTGACTGGGATGTCGCACTTTGTGATGGCACCTTTGCCTGAGCGCACATGTCGGTCGATCTGGCAGCATACTAAGGCAGTGGAATTGGTGAAAGCAGCAACCATTCCGTCCTGGCTGGACCAGTCTCTGATCATTTGTCTCAGCGTGACATGGTTGTCTTGCAACATGGCTGGATCAAATTGCAAAAGGATGGGCAAGAATGCATCACCTTCATCAACCGTGTTTGTCTGAACTCCCACCTGCACGCGCTTTTCCCAGCTCAAGTTGACACCGGTGAACTGGAGGCCCCGCATCATATGTGCTAAGAATTCCACAGGGTCACCCTGTCTGCCAAAATCTTGCCATTGATCAAGAAGCATGCTAATGCAAGGAATTGAGCAAAGGTCGATGGGTTCAGCCTCATGCTTGAGCAGGATGTCGGCAAGTTGGGTGGAGTGTGGTCCCCATTGTTCAAGTGAGAAAAGATCAACACTCAGGTAAGCCCACAGCGTGCTCAGAAAGGATGCATTGAGGAAGCACCAGTTCGAGGTGTTGGCCAATCTCAGTGCCGCCAATCCTTGCTGAAGACTTTCACGGCTTGGTGTGTCATCTGTCATTTCTGGGTGTGATGTCCCTTGGAGCGGCCCTTCTTCGAGTGCTTCCCCTGGCCCTTCCCCAGTAGTTCTTGAAGGTGTTGGGCTGGGCGACTTTGCCCCAGGCTGTGAGGTTTCAGACTCATGCCTAGGAGTCCCCATACCGTCGATCCTTGTAGGGTCGTCAGCAGAACCTGTAGGTCGTCCGCTCGCATCGAAATTTGCCATAGCCAGGGGATGATTTTGTCTTCCGCCATCGGCTTCATGGAATGGAAGCGAATCGTCACCTGGGGATCGCGCAGGATGTCTTGCAATTGCTCGCCGTACTTGATCATCCTCTGGAGCGTGATGGGTGCCTGGGAGGTTGTTCTCAGCCCCTGGGTGTGATGGCTCCATTTCTGAAACGGGAAGGTGTTGTCTGGGGTCAGAAGTCCATGCTGGATGGCCACGACCTTCAACTGATCCGTCTCCTTGCATTCCGCCAGGCGATGGAGTCTGTGTAGAAGGGTCTCCCCCAAGTGCTGTGTGAGGTGACATCGGAGCGGCAGAGGTTGGGTATCCGTGGTTGGATCCTCCTTCACGTTCTTCTGCTGTCTCCACTCGGCAGCCTTCTGAATCAGGGATGGAAGTAGGGCTTGGGGCTCTGTTTGCATGAAGCAAATCCATGAGTCTTGACGCTTGAGAGCTTGTTGCTCCGCATCCACTCGTAGTAGAAGTTGGCCCATTGCCTTCAGCAGCTGCATCGTGTCGCCGCCGTGTTCTGCGGGTGAAGCCCCGTTCGGTTTGTGCTTCTTGTTCTCCCTGGCGACGTCTGGTCGTGCATAGCGCTCTTGTGCTAGAAGAGGCCCCATCTGCCTGAAGGTTTCCAGCATCTCCGAGTCTTCTGCTGTGTACTCTGCATTGGTCTCCATGCCCATAGAGAAGAAGAGCAGCAATTTGTTGCAGAGCCGGGCACTGATGCTGGAGGTGGATCTGAGCCAAGAGACGTCTTTGCTTCAGTTCCTGTTCAGTTTCATTGCCCTCAGGCGTATGATTGAAGATCTGGGCACAAAGTTCGCATTGGAAGTCATTGGTGGTGTCACGGCTCAATGCATCCAAGAGTTGTGGCATCAAGGTTTCAAACTCAACATGTACTGAGGAATGTACGTCCAAGACATGGTCACGGAGTGCAGCAGGATGAAGAACAAGTCCACAACACAGGCATCTGGTGCAAAGTGCATTCACAAGCAATGGGTCTGTCCAAAGGGCTGGGAAGTTTCTTGTGACCAGGGTTTCAACCAGTTTGGGTGTGAACGTTTGGTCGGCCACGGCATGCAAATATTGGGTGACATCCTGCATTGCAAACTTCCAGGGCAGGTACAGTGGGATTGCCATCTTCGCTGCCATCATTCCGAGCTGCCTGAGTGGTACGCAAACGTGTTGCAGGCCACTGGCATTTGTCATGGGGTTGCATAAACATCCCTGTGGTTGGCATGATGCGATCAGTAGTGGCACATACATCTGTGACGCTGCCCATAAACTGGCATGTGTGGTTTGCAAATGAAGGGATAAATCCCCTGTGCGTTGAAATTGTGTCTGGCAAAGTTGGCAGCGCAATGTCAGCTGTAGGCGTGTCATGGGCGCCTGTCGAAGCTCAGTGGTCTGGCCTTGCATGATGATCTCCTGCCAGTCAGGTGGCACCGGTAAGTCAGCCACTGGACGCATCGGGTCGAAGCTCAAACATTGCCCTAGGGTAATGTGCTGCCGAACTGCAGGACGATCTGCGAAACAAGACAAACAGTGACTGCAAACTGGATCTGACCCCAGGAGGTCCCTCAGTGGGTCCCAGTCTTGTGGATCAAGACGATGCAGTTGGTGCAAGTGTTCATTGAGCAGTCGGAGCTCCTGGAACTGCATGTGGCAGATGTCGCAGTGCAGAACCGCTTGGCCGGGTGCAGCATATGTGTCACCTGTGCAGTCAGTGTTAACTAATAGCACGGCGGCTTGGGTCATCACTGGACATTGATGTACTCTCTTGAAACTGCGTTGGCAAAATCTGCATGGGGAGTTCGACGCCTGGGACTTGCATAACTGACTGGCCTTGGTCATCACGTGGGGCACCAGCTGATGGTGCTGGGTGCGCAGGTGCTGGTTCAATTCCTGCGGTCTATTGCTGAACACTCCGCAAATGACGCAATAGTTGGTCAGGTCTTGGACAGCATCAGGATATTGCAGCAACGTGTCCCATCGTCTGGCTTTGATGCATTCCAAAATGGGTAATCCATATGGTTTGGATAAAAGCAGGGACAGGTTGGAGTCTGTCAGCAACGGATATGTGGGCTTGGCCTGCACGGTCGACATGGCCCCTCGATTCGAAGCCGTCGGACACTGCACTGTCAGTGCCTGGCAACAATTGCGCTCCAGGTGAATTTGAAAATTTCTCCAGCTAGTGAATGATTCCATGCAGTGTGCACATTGTGGAAGACCACGCACTGAAAAGGAAGCAACTTTGGCCATGTTAGTTCGAAACTGAATCCTACCGTGAACCTGGGTCTGGTGTCTCCTCAGGTTTGCAAGGGAATTACATTGAAGGTCACAACTTGGGCATTGAAACATCTGTTGGGGCGCCTCGTGTGCAGGTGTCGCCAGGGAAACCTGCAGCTGTTCATGTCGTGCAGTATGCACTAATTGCTGCAAGTGCGGCACATGGGTCATGGGTCCAGTCTGTGGTCCAGGTAATGTCTGTATCAGACATATTGCTGAGGCGTTGGCTCAGCGTGGTCCGGAGTTGGGTCCCGGCATGGAAAAGCAAGTCCAGTGGATGTGGTAGTGAAAATTTTGACAGCATTTGGAGATGGGTGTTGCCAGTAATGAAACAGTGGTCACCAGTCATCCTTCGGTACATATGGAAAATACTTTTCTGTATGGCACCTATGTCGGTCAAGGTGAACCCTACCGTGTAGATTCCATATACAAGTGTTGACAGGACACAGGACTGCCACATGTGCATTCGTGCTCTGAGCGGGATTTGGCGCGCACATAACCAGCGTCTGAGCCTGGTGAATGTAGTCCATGCAGCTGTCAGGCGTGCAGCAACAGTGTGGGTCTCAAACATGCGATAACTGACAATGATTCCCAGATATTTAGCAGTGGTCTTGATGGGGAGTTGAGAGTAAGTGCCATCTGCCCTTGGTATATTAAGGTAGGGGCCCTCAGCTCCAACATGTACAAACCGTCTGTAAACATCTCTGCTGTTGGTGCCGCAAACATGAAATAAAACATGGGACTTTGCAAAAGAAAGCTGTACTCCCATGGTTTCGAGCATGTCAAGAAGGATTCCAATTCTGGCAAGTGCTCTTTCAAGTTGGGGGATGCTTGCAAACTCCTCACAACAATGAATGTCGTCCGCGAAGATTGTAAGGCACATTTTAACCCACTCTGCACTGATGCGATTGGACAGGCGGTGGCAGAGTTCCAACGTATGACATGCCCACAAAATCGGAGCTGCGCGGCAGCCCTGTCTGACGCCGCGGCCTGTGCCAACTGTTGCTGCTTGCCCATCGTGTTCAATCACGTATGCAGTATGGGAGTGCCAAACAGTGAGGAGCACTACAAGTCGTTGGTCCACTGGCAGGGTGCTAATGAAGTCAAAAAGTGGTTGCCTCGGTACTCTGTCGAAGGCTCGGGTCGCATCCAACAGGACTTGTACCCCTCCACAGATGGGGGTGCTTTTCACTGCAGCCGCCCTCTGATGGACACTGCGTCTTTGGTTCTGATGGAGGTATCTGATACGCAAACAATGCTGTACAACTCGTCTGATAGCATCCAGGGATGATCTGTGTGGCATGAACGCAAACTGGGGCCAGTCAGTGATCAAAGGGCGCACTTCTGTGGCAAATTTGGACGTCAGCAGCCCCAGTATACTCTTGCCGACAGGCTCAAGCAGGGCCAAGGGTCTCAAATTCAGCAAGCTGTCTGGTGTTTTGCCTGGTTTATGGATGAATGTAAGGTGTGCAGCTTTCCATTGATCCGGTATGAAGGGAGGTGAAGAATTCCACCAACGTTCAAGTTTGGGAAAAATGAAATCAGTCACAGCAGTAACATGGGTCTTCCAACAAATGCCAGGCAAGCAATGTTTTGCTACGGATTTTGTGACTGGTATTCTGCATAATTCTTGGGTAAGTTCATCACGTGTGAAAGGGACTCCTGGAACAGCATCAGTGCTGAGCGTCACGGTGTTGGCTGGCAGCCAGATGTCATGAATGTATTGTCGTGTCAGCTCCATCACCTCGTCAGGCGTCGCAGGGGTTCCATCTGGGTTCCTAAGTCGGATACGTTTTTTGGGCTGCTTTGGGGTATGTTTCTGGACCGCTTGGTAAACTGTGAAACTATCATGTCTGCAGGAGGCTCTAGTCACTTCATTCAAAAGGTCATGGAATTTTTGGGTTTTCAAGCGTCTGCAGTGGCGCTGATGGGTCCTTTTAAGGACCTGAAAACGTCCAATGTGAAACCATGCATGAAAAAGGTCATGGAGCGTGGTGCGTCTGCAAGACAAAAACAATTCACGATGTTTCCACTTGTTTTGAATGAGCTGTTGGGTTTCACTGCCATCAGAATGAGACTGCACATACATTCGGTTGGAAGGATAAAATGATTGAAAGGTTGGCATCAAAAATTTATGCAAATCGTCAATTACTGTACTGTCACAGTGTTCAAGGTGTGTGAATTCTGTGAAACAAGAAGTGAAATCTCGGTGAAACTGATCCCAATGTGGAGTATCGTCGATCCAGTCTTGCCGGCATTGGAGGCGTTGCTGGTAGGAACAACCAGCAGGTCGATGGCTTCTAGTGTAGGCATAGGGGATTTTCCTGATAGAACAAACCATAGGTATATGTCTAGCACCATTGATGGGTAGAAATGCAGCATGGGGAAACAACTTAACATCCTTGGACAGGGAGTCAGTGTCGGCAATGCGCATGAACATATGGTCAATTCTTGAGGTGTGGGGCTCATTGATAAATGTTGGGGGAAACTGCGCATTCCAGCTGTTGAGAGCAGTCAGCTGAAAACGTTTCAGGATCTGCATCAGGTGATGTCGATCTCGATGTTGAGGCCCCTCTCGTTTGTGGTCCTGCCAGGAATATAGGGAAGTGCCCACATGTGGACTACAACTGGGTAGGCTACAGTTGAAATCTCCGGCGATTAGAACAGAGTTTCTATTGGGGAGTACTTCAACGTGGCGTTCAAGGCACTTCCAAAATTCATGGCGCTTGTCATGCCTCTGAGGTGTGTGGTCATCTGCATATTGGTAACATCCAAGGATGTCCAGGGAGCGCTGTCTAAAATGGATACGCAAGTGTCCGATTCGTCCAGCAAGAACTTCAGCAAAGCCTATTTGATCAGGGCTGCACCAAGAGCGTCTGATTAAAAAAAGGATGCCGTCAGAACGATCCAGATTGGATCCCGTATGCACATGATGCCACATGTTATCAGACCACTCAGCAGAAAAACTCCAGCGCGTTTCACTGAGGATGAGCACATCAATTTCTGCTTCCAATGCCCATGTTTTGACCTCTTGCAATCTCGCCGTGGCGATTCCGCCAACGTTCACATGGCCAATTTGTGCACGATATTTTGGGGCAAAGGTGCGATTGGCAGTTGGATGTTTAATGTGAGGCTTGGTGCTTGAAACAATTGGTTTACGCATCTCTATTGGAAATTGGTCAGGCAAGAGACATCTGCCTCGGTACCAAGCACATCCACTGTTGATGGATCTTCGATAGGCACGTTTCAGGCTTCTCTTCTGTACAGGTGTGATCTCACTGATATGTCGTTTGACATCCCATGGGCCGGAGCCCTGCTGCAGTGCTTTGCCATGAGGTTTTGCCTGCATCAGTGCGGTTAGAGCATAGGCATCAAAGGCGGCTTCCGTTCCAAACCATGGCTGTCTGGAACAACCCTCACCCCCATCCCAGTAGTGTGGTGTGGTCATAGTTAAAGCCCAGAAAATAGTCAGGTAGAAACTCTTAGATTTACTGGACTTTATTCTGGTACCGGGATGCCCGGACTTGGGACCGGGTTTGCGGCTGTTACCCAATTGGGTATGTCTGTGCAACAGGCCTAGTAGGGTCAGGATTAGAGTTAGGACTATGGGTATGGGGTCAGGTGGCTGCTGGAATGGCCAGGCAGGATTCAACAGATTAATATTGGTCTTAGTATTCCAGGACTGGGATGGACTAAGGGGTGTTATGGGAGACCAGCAAGGGCAGTGGTTGGGGTCGCTGGCTTGGCTCGATGGCAGGTCAACGCTGGTGGACGAATCCACTTGTGCGGGTGCACACGTGTCGCAGCTAATCAGGGTCGTGTTCAAGGAGTTGGCAACTGAAGCTGGAGTCTGCGGAAAGATGTTGCTGAGCTCGTTCAGTAATTCAGTCTGATGATCTGCAATGTGCTGCGTCGTTGTCCAAACGGTGAAATGTCCTGGAATTTGTTGCCTGTATGAACCTTGGTGTCGATTGTCAACCTGCAAAAAAAAGTGTGAAATTGTTGAAGCTTCCCACTGTACGTCCGGGCCAGATAGGATAGGGTGATAACGGGAGCCCACTCCGCAGTTGGGACGCACAGCCACACTTCTGTCCTCAAAAGGAAGTTGAATTGTATCAAAAGCTGAATAATGCAGGTGTTGAAAGTCGCTCCAGGAAAATTTGTTGGTGTCGATGTGAGCCCTGTCCCAATAATGATGTTCAGAATAAATCGCCCAACTCAGAGTCCAATGGATGAACCAAAAAGGCCAGAAAAATCGATGTTGATGTGCACCAGCCGTCTTGTTATAGAAATTGAATGCCACTGGAGCCAGTTCCAGAAGCACCGCAGCACCGCAAAGTCCGTTCCAATGGCACAGCGAAGGGAGCGGCGAGGGGCAACCCTACGACCTGTGGTTCCTCACCACTTGCGGCGACACATTGGCCGCAAAGGGGCTTGTGTGTGTGTGTGTATGTATGTGTGTGTGTGTGTGCGCGTGCGTGCGCGCGTGCGCGCGCGTGCGCGCGTGCGCGCGTGCGGCGCGTGTCCGCTTGTGCGTCGTGTGGCGCGTTGCTCATGTGGCGCGTGTGGCGCGGTGTGGCGCTTGTGCGCTGTGCCGCGCGTGCGCGTGTGCGCATGTGCGCGTGTGTGCGCTTGTGCGCGTGTGCGCGTGTGCGCGTGTGCGCGTGTGCGCGTGTGTGCGTGTGCGCGTGTGTGCGTGTGCGCGTGCGCGTGTGCGTGTGCGTGTGCGCGCGCGCTCCTGGGCCATGCAAAGCGACCTATGGTCGTCTGTCACCCAGTTGACCGGTGGAAGCACTTGCATCGTTTAATTGCGCGTC